CCTGTGTCCCCTGCATCAGCAGGCAGACTCTCAACCACTGCGCCACCAGGGAAGCCCACTCCAGTATTTTTATGCAAAGAGGATGAGATGAAAACAAACATTTTTAACATAAATTAAGGAAATTCAGAATGTGTCAAACTTGTTGGCATTATCATATCTGGGCAAAAACAAACTTAAATGTTCTTAAGCCTCTCTTCTACTCGTCTTACTTCCTTTTACTAGATTATTGCCAAAATCACCTTGGTGAAGGAGTTGAGCTCGATAAGCTGGAAGAGAAGTTGTAAGAAAAGTATGAAGTCGAACAGCCAAAAGAAATTTTAAGCCACATTCATCAAGAGTTTCTCCACCTATAAAAAAGAAAAAAAAAAGGTATTTTTACTTGTAAAAACCCATTTCATTAGCAAAAGACAAGTAAATGCTAATAATTCTGGCAAGCAGGGTATGTCACAGCACCAAATACAGGGACAAAACATTGTGTGAAACTGACAAAAGTTATCAGTCTAAATATTATCTAATATTTCTTTTTCCTATATAATTATACATTACAGAAAAAAGTTGTACAGTTAAATAATTGAAAAAATAATAAAGGAGAATGAATTGACTCAGAGTCTCTGACATATTTTTAATAATAATCTCCTCTGACACGAATATTTTAATTTAAATGTGACTCAATTTTAAAATAGTTTAACCTTCCCTGTAATATTATCCATACTGATTCAAGTCACATACCCATTCCAATAACTGCTAACACTGGAAGAAATGGCTATATGGTATGGGGGCCTGATTTTTACTTTAAATGAATAAAAACATAAAACACTTGTAATATAGTCACATCAAAACATAATATCTACTAATAATATTTCATGTCGCAATTCATGACCAACTTATTTTTTCTTAAAGTTTTAATTTTTATTATTGTTATTCTTTTTTCTTAAATTTACCCCACATTTTCCTTTCAAGGGGCGCATCCTACTGACATATCTGGTGCACAAGGCTAGACTGTTAATCAGATCTTATTTGAAATCTGATGGGAATTCTACAAATCTATTCATAACTCAGGAGATTAAAAACAAAAAATGCTCTTTGGGTGAGGAAAAGACCTAATTTTATTAGGCTTGCTTGCTGCTATTCTAGGAAGGAGTATACCTTAATGTTAATTTTTTTAAAACCTCAATATTAAAAAACCCAAATTAACAGTGAATTATTACAATGTGAAAAACAAATAAAGGAGAAAGCACCTTTTATTTTGGGGTTTCTAAAGTAATTATTTATTAAGAATGTTAACTTTTGCTAAACTCAAAAGCAATTAGTTGGATTCTTTATTAAGTAGACAGGTAAAAATGACTTGGCATAATGAATCTTTGTGTACTTTCTCAGAGTACTATGATTTATGGGATAAATAATATATATTCAAGTTAAAACTACTGTGAAGGCAACAATGATGATTTTAAAAACCTTCATGGCTGTCATTTTTACAGAAATTATTTAAGATTATTTTCTGTGAAAAAAATAAGTAAAAATATTACCATCAGTTTTTCCTCTAATCCTATACCCAATTTAATTTTACCTTGGCTTCTGTCTCTGCTTTCTCCAATATCAGTGCTGGTAGTTGCAATTGTATCTGCTAAAGCCATCAAAGACATCTGCTCCATCCGGCTGAGTCCTGGTAAACTAGAATGAAGTAAGTGGCCAGAAAGAACCTGAGCGTGCTCAGGACCAAAGTAAGTTGGACTGTATTGTGAAAGGTCAATAACCCTGGGCTTTGTATTTTCTTCATCTGTCTTTAACACATGACTATCAGTCATTAAAGCTGACATCTGAAAAAGCTCATCATAACTTTCTTTTGACAACTGGTTTGAGTTACTTAAGGTACTCTGATTACTAGATTTCTCCAAGGATGAGTAACAGCTATCATCATCTGCGGCGAGTAAGGCATATAAAGGAAGTGGAGGGACAGAATCGATTTCTGTGTAATCTGTATTTTCACTCTTGTTGAATGCCTGGGGGTCTCGAGTAGTACTTCCACTAGCACTGATGGTGAGAGACCTAAAGCGGCGCTCATGATTAGATTCAGCTTCATTCAGAGCCACAACTTCCCCAGCAATGCACTTGACAAGATGTGACAAGATGGCCTTTGCTCTCCGAACTTTGCCAAGATCCATGAGTTCCAAAAGCTGCAAAGGATGGTACTGAGGTAAAGTTGGGGAAAGAACATGAGCTGCTTCAAAAAGACCTGAATCTTCCATACCCACAGAAGGATCAAGCGCAGTTTTCTTTCCACAGATTTTCTGTGCAAGACTGGTCATGGATCGAGTCAGGGTTTTCTTTGGAGGATGTAATCCAGAACTTGATGAGTTACTCTGTTTTATTAAACTTATTATAGATGGAGTGCTCCCATTGTATGAATCTGTTGTAACAGGTTCTTGTTTAGAAGATGGCTGCCATTGGGAATATACATGCATTTCACAATCCATTCCTACCACCAGGATGCCATCCCGGACCCATGATAAAGAAACAGGAAAAGGTGGAGAGCCTTCTACAGAAGAAACCAAGTCCATACTTCGTAACAGTACAAATTTAGAAAGAGGCACAACTTTAGTACCTTCCCAGAGAGGAAATGCCAGGCTTTCCTTACCCGTCTGTTCTTGTACCTTGCCAGCCAGGGGTCCATACATAAAAAGTTTTGATCCAATTCCTACAGTAAGAATATGAGAACCATCTTCTCTAGACATCCAATCTAAGTGAACTAAATGCTTTGTGTTTGATGTGACACTCTCTTTACTGGATAAATATACCTCTTGTTTATTATAGGCCACTAAATTGCTATCAATACTAATGCCAGAATCCAACACTGTATTTAACTCATCTAAATGAACTGTCTGTTCAAGGACCCAGCATGAACCTCCTGTAGACTCACATTCAAAAATACTTACATGCATCACAAAGTCCTGAGAACATCTACTATTAGACGTAGGCTGCTTATATGCTACTGCTAAACGATTTGTGTGTGCACAGCTGACTTCTATAGGCCTACCAGGTACAGTTATACTACTATTGCTCTGCAGTCCATCTTCAATAAGTAACGGCCATTCTTCCCAAATGTATATAAGATCCATTTCTCCATTCTTTGAAGTGGCAGATTCTTCAGCTGTTACTCTACATCTCCAGAATCTTACTTTCTCATCTGAGCATGAAGTTGCCAATAAATAAGGAGCACTGCATATGGGATATATGGAAGAAGAACTCAGATGTCCTAAAACAAAAATAATCCAGTAACAAAATGTGAAATTTGGTTAAATAAATCTGTTTTCTTGTACTAAAGGTTTTAGTCTTTTGCATGAACTAGTGTTAACAACATGACAATGAATATTTAGCTTAAGGATCAGTAAGATGCTTTTAATGACGTCAAAAAGGTACATAAGAAGGACATTATTACCAAAACCTAGAGCTGAAAGAGAACTCCGTAATAATTTATAAGTAAGGACTCTTGACTAAATGTGTAAGTATCTTATGCCTAAATCAAATAGCTAGACTAAGGCAGAATTAGAAAACCTAAATTCTAGTCCTGGTTTTCAATCCAGCATTCTTTTCACAACTCTTTGTTAGCATTATATATTATTATAAATCTTACTTTAAAGATATCAATACATTTTTAAAAATTTGTCAATATTCACTGGCTACTTCTCTATAATATTTTTTAATACAATTTTGTGAATGGCTCATGCTTACCTAAGTACTAAAAGAGTCCTCCATGATTGAAGTGTATTTCATATAAATGACGCTGAGAAGATTCCTAAGTGGGACATATGTTTGCTTGGGCTTAATGTAATTACATACTCTTAATTTCCTAAATCAGGGGTTGACAAACTTTTTCTTAAAGGGCCAAAGAGTAACAACTAGGCTTTGCTAGCCACAGAGTCCCGGTTGCAGCTACTCAACTCCACCAGTGTAGAACAAAGCAGCCATACACAAAAGTAAACAAATAGGTGTGGCTACGTTCCAATCAAACTTACTTACAAAAAGGTAGGTGACCCATAGTTTGCCAATCCCTATCCTAGACTATTAAACATAAACTGCTAATCGTAATACAGAAATGTTATACAGAACATTTATTATATTTTAAAAGCATATTTCAACATAAGTTTTTCTTTAAGTCCTCAAGGACTTAGCAGTACTGCATAAGGACACAATTAACACTGTCTATTAGTTTCTCTGAACTGAACAGAGAATAAAGAGCTTACCCTTCCCAAAAGTCTCGGTTAAAATAAAAATTCTCAAGACTAGGAAAAAAAGCTGTTATCACATGCTACTGTTTTTGCCAAACAAAACAAATTTTTTCCTTTGCCCTAGGACTTCTCTTTTCTTTCAAACTCAACTTGCGCCAAGGATTATTTTTAGAAACATCTTCAGTTTCTCTTAGATCTGCCATATAGTTTTTTTAATAGAATTCAGTAGTGAAGATTATACTGTTCTGGCTAAGGATAACAGCTCTTAAAACTGTGTCAATACAAAAGTCATTCTATTTCAAACTTTAACTTGCCTTGCATTGATGCCTCTTTTATTAAAATATACAAAAAAAACCCAGAATGTAAAAGTTATCAGGACACTGTTAATACTCCTGCTAACTTCACCAATTAGAAAAGATTAAGTACCTGATAATGTGGCAAACTGAAAAGCATTCAAAGCAATTAGTCGAAAGTGATAGACAAGTAAAGAAGACCAAAAACCCACACTGTGACTATGAAAATGAAAGAACTAGGTGATAAAAAGATGGATTTTTGTCTTGGTTTTCATGATACCGTTGATACTTTGATCTTTTTTGTACACTGGAATCACCTGGAAGGCTTGTCAAAACAAGACTGCTGGGTCCCACCTCACAGCTGGTGATTTAGTAAGTCTAGGGTGTGGCCCAAGAATTATTATTTCTAACAACTTCCCAAACAATGCTGATGCTTTTGGTCTGGGGACCACATTTTGAGAACCACTGCCCTAAGGATAAGGATGACAAATATATATATCAGGAACTACACACTTAGAATCCTTCACAGCACAGAGCTCCAGGCAGCCAATACCAGCATTATCAAAGTTGGCAAATAAGGTGCCACCCCATTATTATCTCTGCCCTGGAAACTTTCGCTTTGTCTTCACAAAAGGATAATAAAAATTTGTTTTGGAAATCAATATTTAAGACCACAACTGGCTGACAAATGCCAGAGTCATCTGAAAACGTAATGAGAAATTTAAATTTTTAATTTAGGGTACTTAAAGATATTCTTTCTGTTTCTGTGTAGATTTTAAAAGTGGGAGTTGCACCTATTTTTAAATACACAGTAAGTACTCATGCATTATGAAGTTTGATTAGTCTCCTTTTACAAAATTTACAAACCTGCTGATGGCTTAACACTTATTATCTCAACTCCTTCTGGCAAATGCAACTCTTGGCTATAAACCATTTCTGAAGACAGAGTCAACTTGCTGGTACTCTGGAGATTTGCTCTGCAAGCCTGATACTTCTGTGAAAAAGGGGATAAGATCTTCTCTGGAGAAGAAGAATAATGTTCTTCTGGCTGCCAAACTGCTTCAGATATTTTTGTATCTACTTTTTCATCTATAAAACATAAAAAAAGAACCAAAAACTGGGAGAGAAACCCTGTAAACATTACAATTGCTACATTTTATAATCCAAAACTACCTTATAAAAGACAAAAAAGTTAACATATTAATATGATTCTTTACGGCAAGAAAATCAGAAAATTGTTTTTTCTTAATTAACAGAATAAACTATAATGATCCTCTCTCAATAAAAACAGCTTTAAAAAATATCCACTGAACTATCTAACCATATATAATGTTAACCTAAGCCTACTAAAAGTTTAAAAAAAAAAAAAACTCACCCAATGAGACAGGAATGGACTTCAAATGCAAATTCCACATGTGTAACAATGAACGGTTGTCTTGGGTGCACTCTATTACAATTAGGTAGAATTTTTCTGAAAATTCATTAGGTGAGCTGCCTGTTGGTATAAATGGTGTATTTCACTACTAACATGGAAAGCTGAGATAACTTTATATATTATATAAATATTATATCAATTTATCTTTGCCTAACATACTCTACATTTTATTTCTCATTTCATGAAAAATTCTTCTTTACCTGCATCAGATAATATTCTGTCTTTTCCTAGTCTTTTCTTCTCAAGGTTATTCAAAATGAAGTCTTCTTGAAAAACATGAAGCAGCTGGGTTTTTCTGCCTTGCTGAATGTAAATAAATACCAATGTAAGTTGACATACATATTATTTACCTAATGCTAAGTGGCCAGAAAAATAATACTTACAAGTTTGGTAATGGGATCTAATGCAATAATGCATCCTGGCCTGGCTGTTGACTGTTGACTTACGATGTTAAACACTTCACCAACATATTTCTGTTTTTGAAAAAATGGATATCTCCTTTATTAAACAATTAAAAAAAATACTAACAAATGACATAAAATTTCAGGCATAACAGACAAATAATAAATAAGTTCAGGTGAGACTAAATAAATTCACAAGTCCTTTTCATTATAAACATTTTACGATTTTACAAAGCAATTACACAGGAATGAAGAGAGTTACAGCTCAGCTGGTGCAGAGAAAACCAAAAGCAATGCTTGGTAATTGTTAAGGGGAAAAAAAGTATTTTATATTTATAAGTGTGAAAGACTGACTTCAATCTCATGGAAATGTTCTAAGAATCAAGGTTTTTTAAGCATTAATTTTGACAAAGAAAGCTAAAGAAACAAGTTAACATACTATTTACATATGCTGATTTATTGAGCCACTTATCTCCTGACTGCTCTAGTCAAGCACACATTGTTAAATTCAATGTTCATCATACTGGATCCATCAGCAGCATTTGATTCTGTTGATTACTCCTTCCTCCTGGAAATAATTTTCTTCGTTTTGGCTTCCATTATACACCACGCTCACCTCACTTTTAGCAATGGAATGCCCCAGGGTTCAATCCTCCTATCATTTCTACTTTCCAGCTATAGTCTCTCCCTCAGTGATCTCACTCAGCTCCACAACTTTATATTCTGACAACTACTTATTTTCTATCTTCAGACCAGGCCTCCCTCAAAACTCCAGAGACTAGCTTACTAGATCTCTTGGATATCAAACAGGCATTTCAAAATTAACATGTCTAAAGCCCGGCTCTTGAATCTCCCTGCTCCTCAAAATCTGCTGTTTAGGGACTTCCCTGGCAGTCCACTGGTTAAGACTCCACACTTCCAATGCAGGGAACACAGCTTCAATCCCTGGTCAGGGAACTAAGATCTCACATGGCAGGCAGCGTGGCCAAAAAAAAAAAAAAACCCCAAAAACTGCTATTTATACTTCTCATCTCAAGGCAAACCTTGGGAGTCACCTTCTTTTTGTCACACAAACCCCACATCCAGTCCAATCCTTACTATTCAATGTTCAAAACACATCCAGATTTGACCAATTCTTAGCATCTTTATCACCACCATTTCCTACCACTCTAAACCCCTTTGATTCTTTCCTAGACTACTGTAATAGCTTCCTGAATTGTTCTCTCTGATAACACTTCTGCTTCCCATGTCTAATCTATATAACAACCAGAGTGATCCTTTTAAAGCCTAAGTCAGATCATATCACTGTCATTCTCTTCACTAGTTTTTATGTCATTCAGAGTAAAAGTCAAAGTTACTCTCAATACAATCTGGCCAGGCTCACTTTCTGATTTTATTTTTGACTACTCTCCACCTCACTTATTCTGCACCAGCCACAATGGTCTCCTTGATGTTCCTTACATACCAAACATGCTCTGGCCTCAGGATCTTTACACTGGCTCTTCCTGAAATACTCTTCCCTCTACATATCGATATAGGTAGCTTTTATCTCCTTCAGGTCTTTACTCAAATGGCACCACTTCTCTGAGGTTTTCCCTGACCAGCACTTTACTTGGCACTCCATACTACTTTTGCAACATTGTTTCTCTCCAAAGTATTTATTAATATATTTTTACCTTTTTTCTATATTCTTTCACTAGAATGTAAGCTTAGATTTTTGTCTGTTTTGCTCACATCTAAATTTCCAGCACTTAAAACAATTCCTGAAAAATAGAAGGCCCTCGAGAAATATACGTTTCTAATTTGACACTATATATGTTTTGAAAAACTTTGTGATCTGTAAAACCATGCAATAAAAATAACAGGGAAAAATCAAGATGGGAGCAGACCACTGACCTATGCAATTCTGTAACCAGAGCATTAACAAAGACATTAATTGATGGTTGAGAGGACAGTTTGGCTCTCTTAAACAGGAAGCTCCGTATGGCTGAAAGTTACCTCAGGGCATATTTAAAAACACAAAAACCAAAAGAATGGAAATACTGGCTTTTGGAGGTGCTGAGACAATGCAGATGGTGGGTTGCTATTAGTTGGGCACAGGAACAAGTGCCCTCTGTCATAAGACAAAAGCTTTGCAATGGTGTTGAAAAAACTCCTGCCTGTAGTGCAACCAAGCTGAAAGCTCCTTCCTCTTGGTTAAGATTAAAATTCCACTCCTGGTATTTCAGCTTCCCTTGCCTAGAAAAAAACCTGCAGATGAACCAACATAATTCCATATACTGTCAGTAGTCCCCATTTATCGCTGAGCAAAGAAGTACAACAGTGGGCTTCCCTGGTGGCGCGTGGTTGGGAGTCCACCTGCCGATGCAGGGGACGCGGGTTCATGCCCCGGTCTGGGAGGATCCCGCATGCTGCGGAGCGGCTGGACCCGTGAGCCATGGCCGCTGGTCCTGCGTGTCTGGAGCCTGTGCTCCGCAGCGGGGGAGGCCACAGCAGTGAGAGGTCCGCATACCGCAAAAAAAAAAAAAAAAAAAAAGTACAACAGAAACACGTATTGTAGGACACTAGACTCTACTTTTGGAATGAATGAAAGATATGGTTTCTTTTTAAAGGAGGTTAGAATCACTGTAAGAGTAAAATGTGAAACAAATTACTAAAAAATATACATTTTATTATAAATTATATGTCACAATTCTAGAACATGCCCAATAAGTATAAAGTATCTAAAAACATTATATTCTTAGCTTCAAAAGCCATTTACTTACAGAAATGTCAGGATTGGAAAGCTCATATAGAAGTTTCTTGGCATCAATAACTGCTTCATATAATCTCAGATATTGTCCATCACTTGCTACAAAGCATGCACTAGGAGAGTTGCAGTATGCACCTAGATGTATTTTAAAAACATTTGAAATTTAACCCTTAAGCAATAATGTCAGAAAATCTCAAGTTCTTAAATAAAAATCAGAATCCTTACCTAGACAATAACTGGGTATAAGAGTGGGCAGCCATGCCACATTGGAAAATGCAGAAACATGAAGAGAATTAATCCGGGCAAGCTCAGAAACACCTCCAGAAAAAGACAATGGCCCAACTGGATCAACTCTCCAAAGAATAAGCTCACTGTAAACTGCATTGGGATCCTGAAAGGCCATGTCAATAGTGCTTTTATTCTGTTGTGCCAAAGAACATTCTTCAATATTCACAGCACCATAAGGTTCCTTTTGGTTATCAACATCTGGTGTCCTTAATGCGTTATGGTGTGACGTTGTCAGCAATAATGGTAATACTGAGTGACAAGCTAAATCATTAAGATGAAAGCGATGACCACAGTATCTGGATTTGTGGGAAATACTGAGAACTGTAGAAAAGGCAGATTCCTCGGCAAAACTGACAAGCCATTGATTCAGGGAGCCATCAGCATGCTTTGAAATCATCATAACATTAGGGGTAAAAATGCTTAATTTTAAACTATTAGTTGATTTACTGTGACCAGAAGATATAAGCATTGATGTGGAACGTGTCAGGCTGGAAGTTTTTTGTTTCCCTTGCTGAATAGCCAAGTCAACATTCTTGGTACAGGCATACATCACTATGCTTTTACAGAGAGAGTTTGCATCACCTGTGGGGAAAGCTACAGGAATTCTGGAAACAAAGGACACCTAGAAGTAAGAAAGTAGCATTAGAATTCATGAAATTATATAAAGAGGTTTTACAAAACAGTACCCACATTTAACAAGTAGCTCTCCAGAGATCATAAAAATAATACCTGTACTTGACGAAACATACCAGGCTGGTATTCATCCAGCCAATCCACATGCCAAACCAGCAAAGAACCATCCATGGGATGAATACTGAATAGCATGTCTGCATTTTTACTCCATTCAGACAGAAGTACTTCAATCTGATGATCAATGGCAGCTGATGGTAATGGTACAGAACTTGAATTTGGTACCAATTTATCACTGCCCAATTCCTTCTTTTCAAGATTTATTTTCAGATCATCAATACCATCATCGATCTCTATAAGCAAAAGGGTTCATGAACCAAGTAAATACAATCAAGCTACTACTAAAAATTAAGAAATATCTTTACAAATGCATTCAAAATGAAAAACGTAAGTTTTCATATAAACAAGAAATGGGGTTCCCTTTAAAAAATAACTTTGCTCCAGGAATATAAGGCCACGGAGTTAACTCAGTACTCAGAAGGCCTATAAGGCTGATTCAGTGGATTATTAGTAGAAGGACTAATACTAGACTGGAAAGTAGGTAAACTGGTTTCCAAACCCAGATGTACCACAAGTAACTACTTAGAAGTAAGACACACTACTTCTCTGGACCCTAGTTTTGCTCATGTTAACATGAGGGAGTTGAAATTAGGCTGAATTTTTTAAATATATTATTGGAATGTAATTTGTACTTTCTTCATAATGTCAGATTCATAAAACCTAAGTCAACCACACTAGCCATCCTCTAGGTGTAAGCATTTATAACTGATATGACACCTTAAAGAAACTATTTTAAAGAAATACATTTTATAGTGCCTAATTTCCAGATTTCCTTCAACACATGCCAACTTATTAATACAAATAAATATGTATATTCTGACCTCTACATCCAAGCCCCTATTCCTGGTTAGGAATACAAAGCCTTTCTTAAGAGACTATCAAAAAATGTTAGCTTGTTTACCAGTTTTTAAAAATTAGTCAAGACATAAAATCATTAAGAAAAAGAAAAGTAACTCAACAGAAAATTAGGCAAAAGGCACGAAGAGGCAAACCACAGAAGGGTTAACATAATTCTGCTCAATTTAACTCAAGAAAATTCAAAGTAAAACAAGACACCATTTTGTCCATATCAACGGCCAAAAAATAATAAAAAGATCCAGTGTTGGCAAGGATGTGAAAAAAGGATATCTGCATATACTTAGAGGGAACATATACTGGTAAAACATTACTAGAGGGTACTCTGACAGAACTTATTGAAATTTAAAAATGCTTATACACTATGCTAATTCCCCATCTAGGAATCTACCTTACAGAAAAATTGACACAAAGATGAAGAGATGTGTTACTCTACCATTATCAGTATATAGTGAAAAACAATTTAAATCAATTTAAATGGCTATCATCAGAAAAAATGCTTAAGTTTTCTCTTGAGTCTCTTGACTCAGGAGCTGTTAAAAATGAGAAAGAAAAGTGCCCGTTACTGAATTTAAAAAGCAAGCTGCAGCACACTATTTTCATTGAAAAATGAACTCCCAAAGTACAACTCTTTAAAAAAACTACCTTTATGCATATATTTGTGTGAGCATAGAAAAGAATAAATCTGGAAGGACACTCATCAAACTTAACAATATGGAAACTTTATACACGCCTGTATTGTTTAATTTAAATTTTTTTTAAAGGGGAACGTGCAATCTTGTAATTAAAACAAAGAACAAAAACATTTTTGATTTCTCTCTCTACTTGACTGAGGCTGAATGCAAACCTTAAGGCCCTAGTGTACTGCTTCTCAAACTTTAATACACATATAACTCATCTGGGAATTTCATTAAATTACAGATTCTTGTAGCTCCAGGTGGAGCCTGAGATTGTACATTCCTAATAATGACAATGCTGCTAGTCTGCAGATAGTCCTCTAAGTAGCAAGACCCTAGTGGCTGACAGAAGCATAAGTATGGAGAAGTCTAAGTCCCTATATCATCATCAGGAAAGAAGCCACCTGGAACAGGAACATCTATATTGGATTATTAAATGAGCTAGTCCAAATTTGTATTAAGCCACTGCAATTTGAAGGTTATTTCTAACAGTAGCTGGTGTTACCATAATATAAAAATCTTTGCTATTTTAAATAAAACTTTATAATTTTTATCCTTCTTAAAGCTTTACCTTCATCAGATTTTACATCTGCCTGATTAGAGTCTTCTACACTCATCTCAGAAGATGGTTGCTCAAAACTTTTTCTAAGTTGTTGTAAAAAGACTTCCATGGACAAAGAAAAATGCAATTCTTTATTGTTTAGCCAGTGTACCACAAAAGGTCCACTCTTCTCTTCATTTTCACTTAGACTCAGAGACGTAATAGAAGGAAGAAGTGGAATGTCTATAAAGAACAACAACAAAAAAAATTAAAATTTCTATTATGCTAGCATATAAAACATCCATGTCTCTTATTTTTATTATTTACTGTTACATTTATCTTTAAACCTCTGCCATACATTTTATTTAACCTATAAATAAGACTCACAGTATAATGGTTCACACAATTATTATTAATGAAAACAGACTTACATGGTAAATTTAATACACTTACTGTAAAGGAAATAAAATTCTACATTATATACTGTAACTTATTTATATATACATACATATACATTTTTTTCTATAATTTTAAAAAATATTCTCATTAAGAAATATGTCTATAATTTGCAGACATGTTAATAGGGTAGTCTTCTTAATTTGTATAGAAACTTTGGTTAGAAATATATTTTAACCTGATCTACCATTAAAAATGCCATCATTAAGTTGTCAAAGGAACCAGTGATATGTTTATCTCAACAGCAACAACTTTCTTTTACTTAACAGACCCTCATATTAACTTTTTTCATGACATACCTATCTAATTCTAAGATAGATACTGCTTATTTATTAGCATCAAGATTGAAGTTAGAAAGTATGAAACTGAGGTTCCCTTATATTCAAGAAAAGCATTCAAGACAAGCCAACTCAGCTACAAAAAATTGTTCCTTGGTACTACTTTTGAAATCATTGCTAAGTATACTGAAGTACAAATTCAGAGTAAATTGTGAAAAATGACAATCCTAACTTAATAGAGGTAAAGAAAAATTTGTCTATCATTATTAAATAAAATCCAAATCTAGATCATGCTGGTGTCTGCTGAACATTATAGGCTGGAATGGATTCAGGGAAGGTAAATAATTTTCTCCAGAGCAAATCTACTGATTTTTTTTAAAAGGAAATATAAACAATTTTAAGTATTTGTTCAAATACCGTCTATTGATGGACACCCATAGGAACAGTATTATAGGGGATGAATGGTAAAAGAAGGATAGAAGAATCTTTTTCCTGGTGGGAGGGAGGGAGACGCAAGAGAGAGGAGATACGGGGACATATGTATATGTATAGCTGATTCACTTTGTTATAAAGCAGAAACTAACATACCATTGTAAAGCAATTATACTCCAATAAAGATGTTAAAAAAAAGAATCTTTTTTCTGTCCCTTCTTATTGGCGTTGGGTTCTAAGAGTTGATGGATATTATCTAATCCAAGCGCTCTGTTTATTATTATATATTCATTAGTATAATTATTTGATTAATATTTATCTATCTCCTACCTAGTTATATGCTTCCTAAGAGCAAGGACCACACTGTTTTGATCACTACTGTATCTCCAGTTCCTACCACTATCTCCAGTTCCTATACTGGCACAGACTAAACACCCAATAAAACCCTTGAGGGGCTGAACTGCCAATCCCACTGTTCCTAGGTAGATACACAATAGTGTTAGGGTTTGAAAGAGTGTCCCCAAGAAAACTAAATGGGTAGGATTTTCTGATTTTCAACTTACAATCAACTCAGAAGAGATAAGCAATGCCTAAAGTAGATCACAGGCCTAGCTGTAAAGTACACAAAATTAGGGGCTTATGCTGACTTTTAGCAGAAGCATTCCGGCTGAAAAGATACTCACATTTCCTTTGCCTCCTGACCTCACCCAAAGAATCTGATGAAGTCATTTTTTATGAGAAATCTTCATGGAAAGCGTGTAAGAACTAGAACTAAGAGAACACGCTATTATGAACTCCTCTCCTGTATCATTTTCCATTGATGGACAAATAAGTGAAGCAATATCTGAGTTGGGCCTTGCAGGAAAGTCATTCTAACAGACCTAATTTAGGGAAAGGAGTTTTCACAAGATCTAATATAGCTCCTAATATTATTATTTTGCTTTGATTTGCCCTACATGTATGAATTTTTCTTAGGGACCTACAATCTAAAGAAAGGTTTTAGAGTTTTCCTTATTGGAAGGTAGTCAGGGAGATGTTACACAGGAACTTAGGGTTTATTTTTTTCATAATACCTCAGCCTTTTCCATTAAAGTGAGAATTCAAGCTTTCTTTATTCTCAAAATATTGTCCTTTACTCAGCAAAGACTTTCAAAATTATTCCACTGACCTAGAGTTGCCTCTGGATACTATAAGCGCTGACAATGTACATTTTTTGATAAGGTAATAAAACAATTTTTTAATAAAAATAATTCAATATTCTCCCATTTACATTTTCATGGCTCATGGATTTTGGATTCTTTTAGAGCTGGGACTGTTGTTAACCATATAAAATTTTAAAAATTAGCAAATACTCTTTATTCCTACCACAGGTATCTCAGCACTTTTTAACTTATCAAAGTACTTCTCACTTTGATTCAAGTAACTAATGGACTGTATTTATTGCTATGTTTCTTGAAGAATGCAATCTAGTGTGTTATATGGAAATAGGTTATGCTTAATTTATGTTTAAGAATATCTCAAAATACATAAAAACTCATCAACAGTGGTTATCTTCTGGGAAGGAAGACTAGGGTGGAATAGAGGTAAAAGGAGGATTTTACTTTACACTTCCTGTACAGATGGCGTTTATCATGTGAAAATATTATTTTTAACTTTTTTCCCAGTAATATTCTAAGGTTCCACTTTTTTTTTTTTTTTTTTGCGGTACGCGGGCCTCTCACTGTTGTGGCCTCTCCCGTTGCGGAGCACAGGCTCCGGACGCGCAGGCTCAGCAGCCATGGCTCACGGGCCCAGCCGCTCCGCGGCATGTGGGATCTTCCCGGACCGGGGCACGAACCCGTGTCCCCTGCATCGGCAGGCGGACTCTCAACCACTGCGCCACCAGGGAAGCCCTAAGGTTCCACTTTAAATGCCCCCAACTGTGACCACTTGGTTTTTAAACTCACAGAAAATATTTACTAAAATGATAAACACTTCAGTCTTCAAATTCATAGATAAACCCAGGTATTCTAGATCTTTCAGTCTGTTTCATAGTACCTATTTGACTACAGTGATAAGTTTCTTAATTCTTCCAGTTATAATTTCTACATATTTCTGCCCTATTTCTGAAATGGCTTCCAAAGATCAAGTACAAAACCCACTGGTTTCGTTTGAACAACTATACAATAATTATAAAATACTACTCTGAGGTGTTAACCTCTTTGTTATGTATTAGCTCAAATCTCAACGTTTGAATAAACTAGTACAGAATCTCAATGACTTATCAAGATCTAAAATTACAGACCAAATCACAGACTTAAGAAGCAAACAAGTAAATAAAAACTTCTTTTTCTATAATCAGTGAGCTGGCTATAATGAAAAGTTAGCTAAGAAAGTCACCTACAATTTTTTACTTATAAAAAAGGAAAAGTATAACTTATTGGTTATAAAAATCAATCTACTCAATTTGAAAAACATTTTCTGAACAGTGCTTTATTACCCGTGGCTGGGTTGATGCTGGCTGCAATATGAAAGTGGCAAAGTGCATTGGCATGCAGTGGAGTGTTCCTGTGAACGTGATGAGGATCTTGCTGATGTGGCAGGTATCCAGTATGTGCTACAAGTGCAAGTGATCTCCTCCGACCTCTACGAAAATGTTTCAGATTTACCTGTGAGAATAAAAACAAAGTCAAACAATGCAAAACAAAGTAAAACTAATGCCTGTATTGTCATAAGCATATATGTATAGGTTACATAATGACTGTTAGATAGTACATATATCCTATTTCAGATAAGTTTATATGTACAAATATCTTGCAGTATTTTTGTACAGCAAAATTGAAACCTGGAATAAGCCTGGAACTTAAACTGCTTGACTCTTCTTTTAACCATCACACAATACTTTAAATTTTTATTTAATATTTTCTGAGAATTAACTACCTAAACTTAAAAAAGTTTACAATGTGTGTGTGGAAAATGATGTCCCTATGTATACTGTTCTCTTTGTATCCTCAGTTTACTTCCTATGACCACAAAGCACTGAATAAAACTACCATGATACATTAGGATGATATTTCATAGTTTGCAAAGCACTTTCACAGATATCATCTCATTTGACCCATAAAGCAGACAATGCAAATATTGTTATTCTCATCTTTCATATGATAAAATAGTTTATAGAGAACACAAGGTCATCTAAAAGTGAAACAAAGGTCTTCAGATTCCTAGTCAAGGACTTCTTTCAACTATTATTACACATAACCATTCTATCAGTGGTTGAGTCTCTACACAATATATACTTAATTATATTCTGTGTCACTAGAATACTATCTAAATTTGAGAAATAGTGGTTCCATATTCATACAAAACATTCAAAGATAAATCATTTTTAGGTCACTTTCTTGTTTTCAATATTAAGAAAATAATAATAAGAATCTGTGTTAACTAGTCTATGTTGAATTACCCCCAACACCAAAAACTGGCTTTTACTTTCCATACTATAGTAATTAGTAAGGTAAATAATTCAAGTTCTTGGAGATTTGGAAGATAACAAATGTAGAACAGAATCTGATAAACTACTCTAATCATTCCTGTAATTATAACAGGACGAACACCCCAAGCTCTAAAGAAAGAAAAGAAATTATTTTTACAGTCAAATCTTTGCATTCTCAGAACTTAATTTACGTTATTTTAGCTAAGTCAAGTATAATCATCCTTTTGTTATCATCAGTTAGCCTAAGGTTAATTTTGTAATTATAGGCAGTTTTATGCTAGACAAAATCCTTAAGAAAACTTGTTGAACCCAAAAACACCCGAAAATCTTCTCAGAACTGTTTTCCTAAGACATATATGTTTTTTCATAACTATCCATGACTTTGAATATTAATTAAGATGAATGTTACAAAAAAGGCCATGTACGAAAGATTTTAAAACTTGTAGGAAATAACATCTAACAAAAACACTCACATCTAAAGCATTTTGAACTCGTTCTTTACTGGAAGCATTTCTCTTGAAGTTATTTGTTAAATTAATTGGTTCAGTCCAATGGCTGCAGTCACCTCCATAGAGCAAACAATCATTTGGTAAAAATGTCTCTACCCAAAGACGACATATGTTATCTTTGCAGCAAGTCAACAGTACATTACATACAGAAGCCCTAAGGAATAAAAAGATTTTAGAGGCAAAAGTATAAATTTCCCACAGTATCACATTCTACAATGTTTCTATAATTATTTAAATGCACACAACTAAGGTATCAATGAAGAAAATGTCAATATACATTTATGTAGTGTATTTAGTCAAAGCCATTACAACTGAGTTGGGTATTTGATTTCATCACATCAAATGCTTGCTAACCTATTCTTTTCTGCCTGGAACTCAGTAGTTCCTGTTTCAGTAGTCTAAGGTTCTTCTTACATCTAAATAACAAAAACTGAAATCATACCATACTTGCTCAGTTAATAAACAAGGAAAAAACCTGACTTCTTCTATTAAAATTTTCTGATTTATTCAGTGGATGTTTATTTGAATTATTTCACAATGCTTCATTTTTACTTCCTGTAAAGGTACATGCGCTTGTCACTAATAAGCTAAAGTAACCAGTACACTTACTCTTTCCTTGCCTAACATATGACAAAAGCAGTCAAGTGCAATAGAAAAATTCATGATTTTTTAGCCACCTCCTTCATTAGTCATTTTTGACTTTCAGTGAATTTACTGTCTTGCCACCCCACAAAATAACAAAACAATTACATATATGTTAATAAATCCCACAAGCATCAAGAGCTCAAAGGCTGAAACCCTATTAACAAAGACTACCTTTCTACTGGATAACCCAGGAAATTAAAAAAAAAAAAGCTGCAATATCCTATAACAGACACTTATTCAAACATATCTGATTAAAAGAGAACAATCAGTAGAAGGTTTCTATCAAGTAACCCAATAAGTTAAAGAAAAAAATTAAAATATTCCGTAGTAGTCACTTTTTAAAACAAACGTATCTACTTGATTTAAGAACAATAGCAAAGGCGAAGAAAAGGGAGAACAGCTTGCTTTGTCTTGGTAGCTCTCTCCTTCAGATTCCCTCCTCTGTTTTAACACCTCCCTCCCTTCCCCTCCCCCCCTCTGTGTATACTCCCGTACTTTTCTCCCCTTTCCATCTACTCTCTGGGCTTCTCTCCCTCTGCTTTCTCCTATAATTCTCTGCTTCTCACGTTCTCCAACCCACCCTCCCTTTCCACCTCTCCTACCTCTCACCGCTACCCCCTTCCTAAGGCCCCTCCTTCTTCTTACCTTTCCAAACCCTCTGTTTCTCCTTCCTTTCCCCAGCCTTATGCCTCTCCCTCCTCTTCCTCCTTCATTTTTCTCCCTCTTTTTCCCTCTCCCTCTGACCTTTTCCTCCCCTCCTTCCCTTAGTTTCTCTCTAGTACATTTAAATACACACAAGCAGTAGCAATGAGATTAAAAATAAACAGAAACAGAAGAAAATACAAAAAGGCAATATGGAAGTTCAAGGTTCATAGTGCCAATCAGTAAATGGCAGAATGGGAAGGCTTATAATGAAAGAGCAGAAGATAGGAGACTAAAGGCCTGAACAGACAGCAATCAGGAGAGGTACAGAACTTAGGCAAGATCAACAAAGCAAGCTAAAAAGTTGCAAAACTCAGAAGCATGGACAGGGCTTCGATCCCAGATGACTCTCTTCAGGATACCACGCCTTACAAATAATGCCACGCCTTACAAACAGCTGGCAGGTAATATAAGCATGGCATAGAAGAAATATCCAGATGTATTTGAGACATTGCTCAGGCAATACCTCCCCCTTCCTCACTTCATCAAGTTATCTTATTCTCTCTCCAATAAGCATATCATATTCAGGTATAGCACTCTCCCTCCCAACCAAAAAAAAAAAAAAAAATATATATATATATAGATAGATATAGATACAGATATATAAATGAATGACCTTATATGGGCAACCATGTGATGGGTAAGTGTCTGCAACAGCTGTCCTATCTTTTTTTTTTTTAATTTTATTTTATTTAGCTGCCCTATGTTAATACAACAAAAGGCTAAGATGCTTTTGAAACTAGTTATGTAGAACCAACTTTTGGACGTTTTAGGGGGATATAACCAGACCTCCTAACCTGTCCTACATACACCAATTTTTAACTTGTAAAGAAGTACATGCTCATTACAAACACTTCCCCATTCTTCTCTCTCAAGCCAGCAGGCCCTTTGTATAAAGTATTACCATCTGGTTAAGCATCTTAATTTTAAGATTCCATATCAGAAAGGATAATGGTCTTTGATGGGATCTCTTTCATCCTCATGAGAAAGGGTCAGCCTTCCCACTATATATCTGCAGGCAGCTGGTGAAACAAAAATGAAAACTAAAAGAACTAAGGGAGATTAGCTGGTTCTTTAATGAAATGGATCCAAAAATGAAATTCTGGAAACCTTGAAAAGATGCCGTAACTAACAGAAAAGTCTAGCTCTGTATCAGCTCCCTATGTTGCAGAATTTAGTTGATAAGAGATAAAATAAGCAGGGCAAAAAAAAACCCTTAATATGCCTTTTTGCTGTCATTGGGCATTCATAATGCCCCAGTTTAAGGTACTGCCTCTGTATCCACTGTGATCACTTTCGCCAACACTAAGTGAACTAGGTCAGGAGTAGATGTGACTGTCCTCTCTCAAAAGATAAAATATTTCACAAGCCTCGTTTTTAGTATTCTGGTGGTCTAACTGGCTGCATATGAAAATACCTGGAATAGAAGAAGAAATCAGCCTCCGAAATAATGTAATCTTCTGATAGTTCTAAAAGGTTAACAGTTTGTGATGACAGCTATTTTTACTTTACATTTGTCATAGCTCATTCTATTCTAAACACGTTTTTATACGTGTGGGCAATGATCTCAGAGGTACTAGAGCAACAGTTCTTAAAGTGAAGCTGGAGTAAAGGTGCTTTCGCTAACAATACAGATTGCCCACACCACTCTCCCTTAGCCCAAAAACTGTGAAACATACTTCTAACAAAAGAACCATCACTGTACCTACAGTGTCCTACTCCTATGCTTTGTTACACTGTAGGACTGAGGTAGGAAGAATGGTAACTACTGCACTCCAAAATAGCTCAAAAAAGTCTAGGTATAACAATGATGGATATATGCCATTATATACTTATCCAAACCCATCGAATGTACAACACCAAGAGTGAACCACAAAGTAAACTATGAACTTTAAGTGAAAATAATGTGTTGAAATAAGCATCAACTGTAACAAATGTACCACTCTGGTGGAGGATGTTGATAATGGGGGAGGCTGTGCATATGTGGGGGACAGGATTATGTGAGAAATCTCTGTACCTTCCCTTCAGCTTTGCTGTGAATCTGAAACTGCTCTAAAAAATGTCTAAAATAATTTTTTAAATATCTAGGTATACGCTGCTGGCTCAGAAGAGCAAAACTAAAGTCAACAAATGATCTAGGTATGCTACCATGGATCAGCTTAAGACATCTCAGATGACAAAAAGATAAGGGAAAACCTGTACTGATCCATAGTGTGGCCAAATTGAGAATGGCCATGTGGAACAAAAAGGATATCTATACTTAAGTAATACAATAGCTCTGTAACTTACTAAATATAGGCAAAAATTCAACAGGATTATCAAGTCTTGCAAGGACTACAGGAAAGAAAAAAAGTACTAACAGGTGTGTTTGTGCATGCATGTGTAGGTTAAACTAATACCTAGTTTACGGCATCATAATGTATTAACCCATGCACTTCTCCTCAAAGATGCTGGGTGCAGTTAAAGAAATATTTGAGGCCTTATGGTATATGTTCTCAATAAAGCCTTTTTTTTTTTTAATTAAAAAAAAAAAAGGGAAACCAGAGGAGATATAGAAGGGACAAGATAAGGGAGTGAAATGTGAAAAAGTTGATGCAAATGGCAATTTGAAGAATGATTAAGAGATGAAAGAATTGGATACATAACATAGAGAAGAAAACGATGCACAACTCTGTCACTTAAAGATATTTGATCTAGAGGTAAATTATCCTTTCATATGGCTCTCCTCTTAAGCGTCAACCATAGTTGACCGGTGGCCAGAGGTTTGCAGTCCAATAACAATCTAGTATTACTTGAATCTTCATAGGCAAAAATCCTAAAGGAATGATTCTCAAAGTGAGAAAAGCAGTCAAAGTCACAAAGATGATGTTCTCTTAATACATGGGAAAAATGACTAATCCACTGACCTAGGCATATATTTGCTTGTTTTACGCCAGGAAAATCCATTTACAGCTCGAGGATGGGCCAGATATACAAAAGAAAACTCAATTTCTCCTTGGGATTGTTTTTCTGAACTTTTATCTGGAGAGGTAACAGATGTCCGCCAGTTTTCTACATTATACCATACCTTTAAAAGACAGTCATCCTAAGGGGAAAAAAAAAAACAAAAAACATCCAGATCAGAATTAAATTAAAGGTTAAGTCAAATACCAAAAGTAAGATTTTTCTCCCCAATTAAAGGAACTTAGGGATGTGAAGAGGAGTTGGGCATGGAGAAATTAGGAAGAAAATCTCTGATTCTGATACTTTTCTACTAGCATTCCTTAACTGTTCTTTAAGAATTAATGTGTGTGGATGTGTGTATTTTGCAAGGGTTGGTTCAAGGAAAATGCTAGTTACCATTTGGTACGGAAAATAAAGTCATTTAGGAAAGACCTAAAGATGAAGTTAGGGCTTCACGTGCCCACTTAGCCAAATACCAAATAAGAAAAGCATTACCATTAGCAGACTTCAAAAGACTGGTGATTTTTGAAAACACAGTTTTTATAAATTACCATGTGAATGTTCAAAGAAAATGTTGATGATAACTAGTTAGCAACTACTACTATGTAAAATATTCTAAGCACAATCAAAATTGCATCTCCTAATTTGAGAAGGAAAGCAAGAACAAGAGAGACTAGCATGTACCAGGTTCTGTTCTTAAGCTATTAATTGCATTCCCAAAGCTGACTGTAAAGTCAATTAGATTAAACAGCTCTACTTTTATCCTAAAAAAACCTCACTGAGGGTTTAAGGTATATCTCATATTCTTAGTCTGCAGGTTTTGAGCCATGGGAACAATAACTTCAGACTATTAGTTGTATGTAAAGTGCTCTGTGAACCAATGATTAAAAATAAAATAATTTCAAGGGAATGCATTATTCTGAAATAAACAGGTAAGAACAAAGAAAAGTTACAAATGTCCTTCTAGAAAGTCTGTAAATTCTTTTACTGTAAATACAGCCTAATATAGCTGTCAGCTAAAAGATAACATAAATAGTAGTTATAGTTGATTATTGACAGTATACTTCATCCATGACTCTGTGCCAGTCACTTTACATACACTGTCTAAACTAATCTGATGATCAACGACCTATGAGGTGGGTACTATCATTCTCAGTTTATACATGAGAAAACCAAGGCTCAAAGAGAGTAACTACTTGCCCAAGATCAAACAGTTGGTAAATGGCAAATTTATACCCAGATCTACCTTTGATCTATGTTGTTTCAATTATACCATACTGCCTTTAACACAATATTTAGCCAATTTTTGCTACTTAACATTTTTAACAGAAAATGTTTTCAACTTAATGAAGCCAGCTAATTTTTTTTGACATTTCAAACTATACCATAAACACAACTTGACAATAGTATTTTTACAAATTACCTTCCCAGCAGTGGCAAAAAATTCTCCATCTGGTGAAAACTTCATTAAATGAACTTGGGAAGCAGTTCTGTAAATTAAACAGACAAGAAATAATTTTCAAGGAAAATTAAATAAGAGAATGCAACATTACTTCTCTAAACTATATTCAGCAATTTGCTTCAAATAGAAAATTTTGTGATAAAACAAGTTTTACACTCACTTTTAAGTATATCTAATATAAAATAAATTAAAAAATAGAAAACTTAATATTAAATATAAAAATTATTTTTTATGTAAAAATATCCATGCATAAGAATCATGTAAGGAATGACTTGTCAGTCTTTTTTTTTTTTTGCGGTACGCGGGCCTCTCACTGTTGTGGCCTCTCCCGTTGCGGAGCACAGGCTCTGGACGAGCAGGCTCAGCGACCATAGCTCACGGGCCCAGCCGCTCCACGGCACGTGGGATCTTCCCGGACCGGGGCACGAACCCGTGTCCCCTGCATCGGCAGGCAGACTCTCAACCACTGCGCCACCAGGGAAGCCCTGACTTGTCAGTCTTCAAAGCTTAAGACAAAAGAGCCATAGGTCTCATTCCCTTAGGATGTGAGAAAGAAAGGTTTCATTTTTTAATCTGGAAACCTAATTTCCGGAGCCATAGATACTTATATTCCAACATACATTTACAAGGACAGTAAATCAGTATTTTAAAACGAATTCTGCCTTAAGGCAGCATTTGCATAATTAAAGATTATGTATGGGTTAATGGGAGACTTGCAACTATCATGGATTCGGCCTTCCAAGTTCACCAACATACTTGGTACATAGTTGTCTTTTCTTCTCCAAGGAGCTTCGGCTCATTTCCCTTCATCACCTTCCCTTCTGGCTACCTGTATATACTAATCTCAAGACACTTCTCACTATGATTGCTTTCCTTTTCTTTACCCAAGTTCATGCTTAGATAGATTCATCCTAAATTTATTTGTAAAGCAGGCCAAAGAGATATTTTGTCACATTTCATTCCAAATAAAAGTAACTTTTTCCCCCTGATTTCTAAAAAATATTTGTTTGCTTATTTGTTTGTTTGGCTGTGCCGGGTCTTACTGCGGCACGCAGGATCTTCGTTGCTGCGTGCAGGATCTTTAGTTGTGGCACTCGGAATCTTTTAGTTGCGGCATGCGGGCTCCTAATAGCGGCATGCGGGATCTAGTTCCCCGACCAGGGATCGAACCCAGCTGCCCTGCATTGGGAGCGCAGAGTCTTAACCACTGGACCACCAGGGAAGTCCCTTCCCTGATTTTAAATGTTACAAATACATAACAGAAAATATTGATACAAATGGGTGAAAGGAAGAAAATAAAATCATCCATAGCTTCACCAATACCACAACACTCATTCCCATGCAAAATCACTGTTAACATTTTAATACACTGACTTCCAGACCTCTTCCATATTCCCTCTCCATCTACTTTCTGTGGAAGGGTGTGGGGAAGGAGATGGAAACTGATGCCATATTTACAATCTGCTTTGTAATATTTATTTTAAAATATGTCATGAACATTAAGTAGTACAATGAACATTTTTATGCATCTGGTTAATCCTAAGGACATCTTTAAAACAAATAATTAAAAGTCTGGTCTCCATGATTGTGACCTTTTGCCCCTACAGTCTTTTCTTAAAACAGTAGCTAAAGCAGTTCTTTTAAAAGAGAATTACTGGGTTGGCCAGAAAGTTTGTTTGGTTTTAAGTAAAAATAAGAGACATTTTTCATTTTCACGAAGAACTTTATTGAACGTATTCCCTAACCGAACGAACTTTTTGGCCAATCCACTAGATCTCAACATACCCTCTGCTTAAAACCCCCAAGGCCTTCCCAACTCACTCAAAATAAAAGGCAAAAGCCTCACAATAACCTATAAGCTGACTCCTGACTCCCCTATTACTCCTTACTTTGTTCACTTTACTCCAGCCACAAGGTAACATACACTTACCTCAGAGCCTTGCACTAGTTCCCTCCTCCTACAACGTTCTTCACCAGAAGATACACACAGCTTACTCACTCACTTCCTTCAGGTCTATACTCAAATGTCACCTCTACTCTTCTTCCCCCTACCCTACTTAATTATTCTCTATCGTACCTACTGGTCCTCATCTAACAGGTATAAGCAGTGTTCTAAATGCACCACAAATGTATGATCAAACCCAACTTTGAAATGTATTCCAGTTAGTGTAATCTTCAGTTGATTCTAAAATAAAACTGGCATAGTTTCTAGTCCAAGGCTTTATTGCTTACTTAAATAACAAACCACCTCAAATAAACAATTAGTATGTCTAGTCCAAGTTCCCACTGTATAACTCTGATTATGATTTAACTTAATATCCTTCCCCTCTCCCAAATGCAAGAAATACATTTCAAATTCTCAGTTCAACCCAAGGAATTCCCTTACTAGATCTGCAGTGAAGGCACTATAGCACTTCTTTGTTCTTCTCTCCCCCATTAGCTCTTTCTAAAGAACTCTTTGCAAAATCTTATTTCCTCTCTACATGTAAACCCTTTTTAACACCCATGATCTGGCTGAGGGGGTGCAAAAAAACACAGAACCAGCTCCTTTGAAATCTCCTTTGTATATTCTATACATATAGGAGGTCTGCCTTACTCTGACTTTGGTATCTGATTTATACCCTATTACTGCTTCATATGAAACTGACTCAGGGGACTTCCTGGGTGGCGCAGTAGTTAAGAATCCACCTGCCAGTGCAGGGGACACGGGTTCGAGCCCTGGTCTGGGAGGATCCCACATGCAACTAAGCCCGTGCACCACAACTGCTGAGCCTGCAAGCCACGCCTAGAGCCCGTGCTCCGCAACAAGAGAAGCCACCACAATGAGAAGCCAGCGCACCGCAATGAAGAGTAGCCCCCGCTCGCCGTAATTAGAGAAAGCCCGCACGCAGCAACGAAGACCCAACACAGCCAAAATTTTAAAAAATAAAATAAATTTTTTAAAAATATGTAAAATTGACTCAGGAAGAATGCCATTCCTAACGTCCTGTCATACTGATTTACTGGTGTATTGTCTATCTCCCCCTATGTGTTCACAGCTATATTCTAAGCGCTTTTACCACTGTCTGGAACATGATAAGCACTCAACAAATATTTGTTGAATGAATGAAAGAAACTTGGACTTGCTATCTAAAGGGCATAAGAAAAATTAAGCCTGTTGATTCATACTTCCAAATTGATCTCTAGAAAGATGATACCAATTGTATGCCCTTATTAAGAGTATATAAGAATACCTTTTCTCCACTCACTCGTAATAGGTATTATTCATTCTCTTCTTTATGGTTTTGAGTGAAGTCAATCAACTCTTAATATGCTCATTATTCATATGTACTACTGTTTAAAATTTTTCTCAAAAAAAATTTTCTCTTCATTGTCCATTTTTGTTTACTTTTGAGATATGTTATTTTCTAGTTAATTTTTAAGACCTCCTTTTAAAAAAGGCATTAACCCAAAATTGCACATATTTCCCAACAAGTTTTTGGTTCTTTTCCTTATGGTCTTTTTGCTTTACAGAAATTTTTTATTGATACACAAAACTATTAATTTTTTCCTTTTCTTTCCTCTCAGTTTCTAATTTTGGTGTCATACTTAGAAATTTTTTCCATAACTCTAAAATAGCACTTCTCATCCAACAGTGATAGAACACAAATGATAAATGTTAGCCCAATATGTAATTTTTAATTTCCTAGTAGTGACATTTAAAAAAGTAAAAGGAAACAGGTGAAATTAAGTATATTTTATTTAATCCAATATATCAAAAATATTATCATTTTAATGTGTAATCAATTAAAATTTAATAAGAGTTTTACATTTTTTTCTTTGTGCAAAGTTTTTGAAATCTAGTGTTCATTTTATACTTTTAGGACATCTCAGTTAAGTCTAGCCATATTTCAAGGGCTCAAGTGAAATGAGGCTATCATACTGGACATGGTAGTATTAAACTATGACAATTCACCGATATTTTCTTCTAAAATTTTTTCATTGTATAGATATTGCTTCTTCTTCCTTTGAAATTTATTTTGGTGCCAAGTATGAAAGAGATTCTAACGTCATTTTCTCCTCCACAGAGCTAGCAAGTTGCCCCACTGATGTAAAATGCCACCTTATATACTGAATCTCCAAGTATAATTGGGTCTAACCCTGGACCCTAATCTATCTGTTCCTGTATCAACAACAAACTGCTTGACCAGTTGTAGCTTTAGAATTCATTTTACTATACTGTTTATCTTCATTCTTTTCTTCTTTCAGGATTTTCCTGATTTTCCCATATTTGTCCTTTTAAATAAAATTTGAACTATGCTCAAAAGTAGAAATTCCAATGAGATTTTGATAAGGATAATGTTCAACATACAGATTAGTCTGGGAAAAATATACTTCACAATAGGAAAACTTCCATTCAAAATCATGACAGGTGTCTCTGTCTCCTTTTGTATAATTTAGCAAGTTCTTATTTAACTATCTTCATATAGGCCTAACACATTTCTACGCTTCTTCCTAGTTGTTTTATTCAACAATTTAAAAAAAGTAAAAAAGGGTCTGCAGAACATGGGAAACGGTGAATCCTCTGTATATAAAAGGCATGTCAAAATCAATACTTTTTATGTTAGTATGGTTTTACACCAACTAAAATGCATTTATAATATAAGACCACATGGAACAGGTTTATTGGTTTAATCCCCTAATTAATTGCTTACTTGCAATGCCAAATGCATCTCCAATCCCCAAAGTTAAGATCTGTTTTATCTGGATTTTCATCTTCAGCTGATTTCTCCAAGTTAGCACTGGACCACAGTTGCAAACAGCTAGAACCAGTTAAAAGACGATTGCCTAAAATATATATATATATCAAAAAAAATAATAACATATATATATATATATATCATTCACCAATTACTATTTAGGTATTTAATTAGTGAGTTAAGTACATGCTCAAGAGTTTTATATAATACTATAAAGATAATACAACTTTTTTAAAAAGTCAAATAACAAAAAGATTTGGGGTATGGGGGAGTAAGGCTATATTTTAACTTTGTTGAAGAAACTTAAGGCAAAAAAGGGAACAGATCTTATCTCTCATCCAACAAACATTTAATGAGCATCTTCTTTGTAACAGGCACTGTGCTAGGCACTGGCAATACAATAAGAAATGAAAGACTGTCCTTTTTCATGATGGGTTCACATTCCAGTAGAGAAATATTATGAACAGAAGCATGAAAACATGCAAGTTCAAATATATTCCAGAGAATGCCTCATAATCTCATTATAGTTAAGGGATAAGGTACGTAGTAGACCTAGAAAAAGAAATAAGTTTGGAAAAAAGGGATCATATTGTGAAGCATTTTTGAGGTTCATAAAGAGTTCAGAGTTTGTTATAGGTAGCTGGAAGTTAAAAGTTTTATTTAGGGGGTGTGTAGTTTACATAAGTGTATCTGTATTTTAGAACAAGGGGTCTCAACTGGGAGGGGCTGTCAACAGATGGACGTAAGATGCCCATAAACCTCCTTCCAATGACATACATGCAAAAGTTATAGGTATACTTTGCGCATTTTTCTAGAGAGATATTCCATAATTTTCACCGTACTTTCAAAAACTCCAGTAAACAAAGAAGGGTAAATTATGATTCTTTATAACTCTAGAGATAGGCAAGATTAGGAAAAATTTAAGATGCTGGGAAATCTGGTTAAATGACTATAATAAATACAGATGGGAAATCATGAGGATCTGAATCAAATATTAAAGTAATAAGCATGGATTTAAAAGCCATTTCAAAAAAAAGAACAGAATTTTCATGGCATGACACCAAGTAAAAAACAGAGAGATACAAGAGGTTTCAAGGACAGATTCCAACTTTATGACTTGGGGAACTGAGTGGAAGATTGTGCTATCAAAGAAAATAAAGGCAGTACAATTTTGGCCAAAAAGCTGACAATAAATAAGGCATTCTATCTCTCTGGAAAGATCACTTTATTTAAAAAGTGAGTCTGTGGCAAAACACTGACTTTAGATCAGAAATCCTTGTGTCTAAATCCCAAATAAGTTACTCAATTAGCTATGTGAATTTGATCGAGTTGGGCAACCTCTGAGTCTCAATTTTCTCACCTATAAAATTAGAAGTTTGTGTAGAGCTGTTGTAAGAATTAGCTATAATATGTACTACATATCTAGCACAGGCTAGGCACTTAGCAGAAGCTCAATAAATAATAGCAACTAGGTGGAAAGTCCTATAGACAGATAAAAACAGCCCAGAAAGTATTGATACTAATGAGACATTCCATTTAAATATGGTTATCATTCCACTGTTTAGCTTAGCAACATACATACGTTTTCTTTTTTTTTACTGAGATGTAACTGACATGTATCATTGTATTAGTTTCAGGTTACAACATAATGATTCAATATTTGTATACAGTGTGAAATGACCACCACAATAAGTCCTTAACATTCATCACCACACATGGTTACAATGTTTTTCATGATGAGAACTTTAAGATCTACTTTCTCTTAGCAACTTTCAAATACACAATACAGAATTATTAAGCATAGTCACTATGTCATACATCACATCCCAGGATTTATTTATTTCAGAACTGAAAGTTTGTACCTTCACCTATTTCATCTACTCTCCCCAATCCCACCCCACCCTACTCCAGCCCACTGCCTCTGACAACTACCAATCTGTTCTCTGTATCTATAAATTCAGTTTTGACAAGTTTTCTTTAACATAAACTAAAGGTGAAACTAAGGTAACCCATGAAGGATTAAGAAATTAATATAGAATACAAAATAATTCATCCCAGTTATGGAATGAAACAAAAGTAGGTAAGGTATGGCATAATACATTGATTTGAACAGAAAGGCAGAAGTATAGATATCAAAGTAGGAAAAAAAAGCATTAAGTCTAAAATAGTAAGTCTTATGATTTAAGCAAGATGCAATAGTGCGTTTGGAGACAACACAAAGGCACTATAGTCAGTTTACTAGCACCATCTGAAAAATATTCTTTATATCCCAATACCTGGCATATACTAATAAGTAAATATTCATCAAAACCAAAATACTAGTATTTCACTTAATATATTCTAAATCTGTTTATATAAATAATTACAAAGTTCATTTACAAAAGTAATAATAGCTCCCCAATATATATTACAGTAATAACCCATTTCTCAACCAAACCACTTAAATTTTAAACTTTTTGATTATAAAAAGAAAAATGATAAACTTTTATGTGAATTTTAAATAAATCATGATTTAAAAGATAATGGTCATGAAATGCTGGCAAGTCACTGCTAGATATGTTAAGAAAATAAGTAGTTATCTTCTAATACTACTCTGTAATGATGATTTTAGAAGAACTAAAATACTGTCAATATCAATAACAATATCAATACTACCTTCTAAAGAATTAGTACTTACAGACTGCAGGTACAAAAATTCCAGGCAACTACTATGTCATTACTAAAGAAATATCACTCAATTCAAATAATAAATGTTTTTATTACAGTTATTCATGAGACTTCAAGTAGCCAGTTCACTTGCTAACAATATTTTTATAGGTAAGTACCTACATAAATACCTTTTTACAGAAAGTACCAAGTACTTTCATATATACTACCATATCTGATCATTAAAAAACTATCTTGTGAAATAGATATTACCTTAATTTAAAGTGAGTTAACCATTCTTGATATGTTAAGTAATCTGCTCATGATCACAAAACTTGTAGTCATATATGTAAACATTTATTGAGAGCTTAATATATGATGGACCCCTAAAGATAAATAAAATACTGAATAAAATAGAATTTAAGCCCTTGCATAATAAAAAAAAGGTAAACAAATAATTACAATAAATTGTAGTGCTATCATAGAGTAACCATATAATTTATCATCCAAATAGGAACACTTGTGAAAGTAAAGGTGACACTGCTAATAATCTTATGAGGAAACAGGCATAAACTGGACATCAGCGACCCTATCCAGAGTAGAGTTATATTCAAAGTGCTGTATTAAATGCCAAATTTGAACCCAGGACAAATTTTTACTCTTTTCACTGTATGCATAAAATATACCTGTAGGCTACCAGCTATTAAGCATCAATCTCATGAGAAAAAACATCTTAAAGCATTATGTGATTTTTATTTAATCTAAGATAATCTCTTTTACCTTCTAAAATAATTTCCCAAGGTTCTGAACTTCATATTCTAAATTAACATTTTTTCTCAGCCATTTTATCTACTATATTAAAATTTATCTTATCTATCTTAACTGATGACTTCTAGTTCTATGCTCCAAAGATAACTTCTTTCATAAATTTAGATTCAAATTTCTAACGATCTAATGAATACTGCTATAGGATATGCAAGCATCTCAAATTCCATACATCCAAATAAAACTTATGTTCCACTATCTCTAACTCCTACATATCACTCTTCTTGTAATCAAAGATACCCTCAGAATAATGTGAAATCCAGTTGTCAAGTAATGTCAATTCGACTACCTAAATGCATTTCATATCCATGTATTCCTTTCATTAGTCACGCCATATTAATTGAGCACCTACTATGATAAAGGCACTGAAACAAGTTCTTATTTCTCTTTCAGACTACTGTGAATGCATACCTTCCAAAGGTAATTATAGATAATACAGTATTTATCTTCCTGTTCCTCTTGTGTCTGATCATTCTAAGTTACTGCTACTAGAAAAATCTGGCAAAACCATAAATCTTAGCCTGTCACTAGCCATTTTCAAAAACCTATACATTTTATACAATTAAAAGGAATTAAATTAAAATTCTTTAATTCTTCACATGACTGTAAAGGCTTTCCATATATGCTGTATTCTTATCTTATCACCAGACTCACTCCAGCCTCAATGAAGTACTAACCATTACTAGAATATATCTTATGCTTTCTTTCTTTGTTCCTCTTTGCTCACTCTGGTAAATTGGCAAAAATGACTTTAGGATGATTTTTTAATGCAGAAATAGATAACTGATACATATACACATTATCTCTTCTTAGAATTCACTTCTTTTTTCCTTCCTCAACCTATCCCCACCTTCATTGTCAAAATCTATCTACTCTCATGGCAAAAGGCTCCTCTGCAATGGAACTTTGATTCCCCACAAAGAATCAGTGTCTCCTTCCCAAAACAACAGGTATTCCTACAATAGCTGGACACTATTATGGTGCATATTTTCCTCATTTCAGTATAAGCTCTAAAATAGCACAGCCTGTTTTACTTACTTTTGTGTTCCCCACCATTTCACACAAAGCAGAACTGAAATACATGAAAGTAAGAAAAAAAAGCAATAGCCTAGACAAGTGTTATTTCACTTCAGTTAATTCTTCTTGTATTCTTACCTGCAGGATCCCAAGTTATATTGTGTGCTATTGAGTCCAGAAAAAATTGGCCACTTTTCTGCCACTGACTATATAATTCCTAAAATTAAAAAGTCATTTAGTCAATAATTATTGGCATCTTTTCTGTCAAATGTATATACTGACACTAATTATTTTTAACAATACATGTACTCATTTTTTTTAGGTATAATTGACCATGTAGTCATACTTAAAGAGAATAAAATGTTCAGCTTGTCAAGAAAAATAAGGAATATGTGATGGAGGAGATCAGTGAGAGAACATCCATTCCTAGAAGTCCAAAAGCCTGTCTTTAGTATATTTAAACAACCAATAAGTATCTGCCAACTAGGACAACATATATATTAACCTCAGCCTTTTAAAGTTATAATTATTACTTTATTATTATTACAGTTACAAAGGTTTAATTTTAAATATGTCTGTGTCTGCTATTTGAGGATTCCTCCTCTATAAAGTTTCATCTTCACCTGAGGGCGTACGGTTATGTGTGAAAATTCAGAATAAGAGATGTTAACACTTCCCTTACATTACATAATTTAAGGGCTTTTCATTCCTTAAAGCAATATTTTTCAAACTTTTTTAACCTGCAAACCAGTAAGAAATACATGTTGCACTATAACCCAGAACAAACACACATACACACACATAAATGCAATCTAAGTTCACCCTTAATACATGTGATGCACTCTTAACATTTTGTATTATATTCCATTTTCTTTTAAATTCAGGTTGTGGCCTACTAAGTTGACTTCTCTAACCTTTAATACATTGAGATCCATAAACACTATCTTAATGTAGTCGTTCCCATACTTTAGTATGAAAACACCCTAAGATGTTTATTAAAAATTCAAATGCTCAAGACCCATGCCCAAAGGTTCAGATTCAAAAGGTCCAGAACTGGGCACAGGAAATCTGTACTTTAAACCAACATCTCTAGGTGATTCTGATACAGGTGGCCTGCAGAATATGCTTTTATGAAACACTATCCTGCAGGAATGGCTCTCAATCACAGCACACATCAGAACTCCCTCTAGATCTAGATGTACAAGCACACAGGCACAATCCCACACCTACACATTTAGAATTCCTCAGGGCAGGATATGGACACACATATCAACTAGTGATTCTGAAGTGTACCTCTTGTGAAGAACCACCATCTTAAAAGAATATTCCAGAATGTACAAATAAAAGAATATAATATTTTTTATGAGGCTCTAAGGATTCTCTGAGACTATATCCTGGAATTCAAGATTTTGTGCATCTTCCAAGTTTATGATTTTTCCATTTGATCCAGTTTTCCCTTTATTCATCAGGCTTTTTTTTCACCCTCTCTGCAAAGTCAGTGCTGCCTACCAATAAACAAGCCTCTTCTTATTGAATTTTTTACACTATTATATTAAACAATTATAATTAGTACAAGAGAAAATGGGCAAAACCTGAAATTCTCAATTCTACCCTTATCAATAAAGGCATTTTAACATAACAAACTGATTTTTTTTTTAAAGTCAGCTATTTCATTCAACAAATACTTATTGAGTATTATTTGAAATACAGTGTTTTGGATGGAGCAACCACCTTTAAAATTTGTTTTTAGTGCTATCAGTTACTAACTCATAAGGGTGTGAGAGCCTCTAACACTGGATTCATTAGGTAATATATAAACACAAATAGAAATGAGGAGAGAATTGTGGACTCTCCTTCCATGAAATTTTAAAATGGATATCAATTAACCCAGAGAAAATATTTTTCATTAACACAAGGTAAGGAAAAAGAATGCTCACACCCAGGAATCAAGACAACTAGTTTCTCTCTTAATTCTGGGGCTCAATAGCTGTTTCATTGCTCAAGTCACTTATTTTGGGGTCTCTGTTGCCTTATTTATAAAAAAGAAATAACAGCTGCCCAACTAAGTCAGAAGGAATTTGTAAGATACTAATGAGCTAAGTGAAAATGAAATGAAAGCTATTAAAAGATATATAAGATAAATCTATTGTTGACACACTGTTTAATTCTTTACATTTAACACATTTCCACAGTCTTTGACATCAAAAATAAACAAACATTAACCAACTTCGGAATTGAGCAAAGAGCCTCTTAAGGTTGACCTGCTTAGTTTCAATAGCTACAGAGCAGCAGAGAAATAAACCAGTCCTATGACTCCTACTACAATGCTCTTTAGACCACACCATGCTGATCTTCTTCCACATGGTTCAAATCACTAGCTTAACCTTCAGTAGAAATGGATAAAACAGCCTGTTCTGACTGTTATCTTTAAGAGCATCTAAACACCCAAGAAATCTACTACATAACCTCAATATTTATAAATTATAAAGTTTTAACCAACTCTCAGGAACTATTTCTGAATATAGTTTATTTATTAAAAAAAAATTCACTGACCTGCTAACAATTATTACATGATATAATAAGTGCAAGAAAGTAAGTTCAAGGGGTAGGTTAAGACTTTGCAATTAAAACATGTCACTTTAAGAACAAAATATATAAAGCAGAAAAACTACCTAAAAGTAGATCACAGAAACAAAGAACAAGTGCCACATATGACTGGACAATGATGTTTGCCACTAGCAATAAAGTAACTGACAAGTTTCAAGTTGTTGACTCTTCAAATACTTAATAAAAGAAAAAAATGATAGATGGAAAAAACGAAAAGCATTTCAAGATAATTCATATGCACAATTTAGTTTAATTCTACTTCAATGAAACATACATCTTTAATAAGGAAGTGGCATTTAACATGTTGTCTTTAATTACAGAGTATAATTTATACTGATTTATGCGATCACTCTAATTTTGTACTCTTAAAAATGGTATCTTTTAATACACAACACATTTTCATTTCTAAGAGAAAAAGATGAATTACTGACCAAATTTTTCTTTTGCTTCGGTAGGTTAACTGGTTCAAAAACAGATACAACATTTCCATAGGATGCTGCAATCTTTTAAAAAGAAAAAAGAAAGAAAACTTATGGATATGTTAACTTACTTATGAATCAAAAGGACAAAAGAAATTTACAGTATAACTTAAAAAATACCCAACACAAAATTTCTTTCACCAATACCTGAGAATGTCAATTTTGGGGACTACCATATCTGGATCAGAATTCCAGTGCTGTCACTGTGTACCGGCAAGTTAAGCTCTCTGAACCTTAGTTTCTATCTATATTTACAGTATATATAATACTATCTTCCTAATAGGATTATTTTGAGGGTTGAAATAACATTTGTAAAGCATCTGGTAAAGAATTATCTATATAAGATGCATAGTAAATGTTAATTCCCTTCCTCACAGAAGAAAATGTATTGATGTATTCCTTGTCAAGTATGGAATTTGACGTGACTTAAAAATCAAGTTTTTAGGTTATCTGTCTTCAAAGTTCAGAATTCTGTCAGTGTATATTTAACTTTTTAGAAGTAAAACTTAGATCTATTCCTTTGTAAACTCTCTAAGGAGTATATTTTTTCAATATTCTATTTTATTTGAGTACCTTTCAAATATTTACTCTTAGATCAATGAAGCATAACCCTTGCTGGCTCTGTTTTATAAGGTAGCTACTACTATAGCTTGAGTGAGTCACAAATGAAGAATATTAAAACATCAAAAATCAGACAGATATATAGATAGAATGAATGATCAGGGATAAAAATAAGAACATATAATCTAGTGAAGACAGTAAGAAATGAGGATGTAACATACATATGGAAAAAAAACTTTCAATGGATATTTTAAAGTGTTCTGAGGAGATCTTAGAAGGTAGAAATCATCTGCACTGACTTCACCTGGGAGTATTTAGTTTGCGCCTTTAAATGTGGATAGAATTTCAAACTGCAGTGAGTGTTCAATTTTAGAAATAGGGCATAGTATGAACACAAGTGTACATCTTTTTTTTTAATATTTATTTATTTGGCTGCTCCGGGTCGCAGTTGCGGCACGTGAAATCTTCGTTGCCGCATGCAGGATCTAGTTCCCTGACCAGGGATTGCACCTGGGGCCCCTGCATTGGGTGTGTGGAGTCTTAACCACTGGACTACCAAGGAAGTCCCCACGAGTGTAAATATTAAAAGAGGTAAAGTATGTTGGGAGGTGACTGAGCACCAGCCCAGGTAGAAGAGAGAAATAATGGACATGAGGCCAAAAAGGCAAGTGTGAGTGGGTTAAATAAGGTCTCAAACCAAGGTGAACAATTTGAACTTTTCTAAGTTCATGGGAAACTAAGAATGGTTTTAAGCAAATGAATAACAAGTCAAATGCAGATGAATTTTCTTAGGAAAATTAATCTGGTAGTACTACAAATAAAAAAACAGTAATGATAAAATATTGATGCCTATGGTATCAAGAAGCATTTCCTTCTAAAAGGTAAACAGAAATCCCAAGTACCAAAATCTACAAATTTTCATCTTGATACCTTAAGGAATCGTTTGAGTATACTGTTATCTGTGAAACAAAGGAAATTTACCCTTTATTAGAATAATTATAAAACCAAATGACCTCTTCATTCTAACCTGGATTTCATGTAATATAGATTAAAAGATAACTCATATTGAAAATTTCTAAAATTAGATTTCCAACATTAACAAGCCCTATGTGAATCTAAATGGTTTAAGTAAGTTTTTATATACAATCAAGATTACAGAACTACAGAGCTACGAGATCAAACAAACATGAAGAGAAAGGGAAAAAAGTCTCAAGGATTTTTAGCATTCCATAATAAAAATCACTTTCGTAGTATAGTGAGAATGAAAGGCATGAACAAAAGAAAGACAGATGAGATACCTGTAACTCTACTAAAAGGAAGGAAAACAGGAATAACAAAAAGAACAGTAGTCCAAAAAGTAGGCAAAGACTACAAGAGTTGAAACTCCTTTCTTACGAGTATCTTTAAACTAGGTCCCAAGAAGTAACTTTTCAGAATGGCAGCCTTATTAGGAATGATTACATTAAAAAAAATAAGGTTGGGCCCATTTTGATTTCTCACACAAAATGTTCTGGTAGAATCACAAACAATATACATGAATTAAGTATCTACCAAAAAAATTAAATTTGCAAAGTTCAGCCTAGTCTAGCTGCAACTGTACCTAGGCCTGGTCATCTATGCCTATATGGTGCTATATTAAGCTATACACTATACTGCCTATAAGTTATAACTCTCCCAACTCTGATACTATACAGAACTGTATTTAACCTGATGTTAAATCATATGCCCTGTTTCTTTTTTTTTTTTTTTTTTTGCGGTACGCGGGCCTTTCACTGTTGTGGCCTCTCCCGTTGCGGAGCACAGGCTCCAGATGCGCAGGCTCAGCGGCCATGGCTCACAGGCTCAGCCGCTCCGCGCTGCATGTGGGATCTTCCCGGACTGGGGCACGAACCAGCGTCCCCTGCATTGGCAGGCGGACTCTCAACCACTGCGCCACCAGGGAAGCCCATGCCCTGTTTCTTTTGTTTTTGTTGCTTTTTTACTTTCAAGGTAACTTTATACTTTCCATGTGTAAACAGAAGTTCAAATTAAATTTTTCATTTTTCTTATAGACTTGGAATAAATTATTTAAAAAATTATCAATTTATGTTCATTTTTGTACAAAGTTTATCTAGAAGTTACAAGGAGATAACTACCTGTTTACAGACAAAAAAGGACTCTAACAACAATTTCTTTACAGGGTTTATTTCTAAATAGCCTGAAGTTTATTGTCATTCCTTACCCTCAATCCAATCAATTTTTAAATAAGTAAGCTTTACACCTATTCTACAGGTAATATTACATTTGTTTGTCAATTCATGGAGAAAACTATGCTATATTTCAAGATTATATGAGAACAGAATTCCTGACAATCTCTAAGATACATCTGAGTCAGGAATTTTGTTCTCTAGAGTGCATCTTAGAGAGCCAAAGAAATCTGTAGCTACATTGTCTTGGAAACACAGCAAGTCTCTAATTCAATAGGAAATAGATACTTCAGAGACTATACTTACAAAAATCATATTCAAAACAAATCTCATATCACCACAAGATTACAAACCTTGCCTTGTTGCATTGAACAATCTACACATCCTACTTGAATATTTCCATGTTTAGCTCCTGGGATTATTTGCAGTCTTTCAAAATCACTTCCCAGTATAACAATGTCACATCCAGAGGCATAAGCCTAAAAACAAACAAAAAAATGAACAAAGTAAAATAAAAATGATAAAGTTGTCAAGAAAATATTTATCATGTAGAACACTGGCGTTAAATATTGTTTTAACAGACTAATTTTAAATATTTTTAAAAATCTTTATTATTTGAGAATATTCCCCTTACCTCCCATACATAGTCCCATCAGTCAGTCCTTTCTGCAAAATATATACCAATTCCTTTCACTTTTTCCATCTCCACTGAATGCTACTGCCCTTATCTAAACTACCATAATCTCTCTCCTACATTATTGTTTATACTCTGACTGCTTCCATTCTTGCTTCCCTCTAATTCCTTTCCACACACAGACAAGAGTGATCTTTTAAAAATGTTTATTACACCAAGTAATTTTCCCTTCAATAGTTTCCTCATTGCACTTGGAATAAAATCTCAACTTCTTACCAATGTCAATGCCCTAAATGATTGTCCTAATTCCCCAAATCCATCTCAAGCTACTCTTTCATTCCCTCAATTGGCTCCTGCCCTTACATTGCCCTTCTTTCTGTTTCTTGGGCGTAACAATCTTTTTTCACCTCAAGGTGGTTTACCTTCCTTCTAACTGCCTGGTCTTTGTCTAACTAGCTTCTTTCCAACATTCATGTCTCAGTTCCTGAATATACTCATATTGATCAATATTCTTCCCCCCTCCCCTAATTACTTTCCATCACACTACTCTTTTTCTTCTTCATAGCATATACCACGATTTGTAAATATCTTGCTTGTTATCCATTTCCATTACTACAAGTTAAGGTCCAAGACGAAAAGGTAGGGTTCAAGTTTATCTTGTTCTCTGCTCTTAGATCACAGGAGTTTCTTCCATTTAAGAGTACGTGGCTGTCGTCCTAGAATTTACATGCAGCATAATTCTGAAAATAAAATATCTACCACAAACTGCTTTCCATCCTAAGTTCTTAAAATTTTAGTAATTCTTTACTTTCTCATCACTTTTGCACATATACATACACCTTACTTAATGTAAAAAATATTATACTTAATATATACTTCATGACCGTAATTCCTACCAAAGCCAAAATGGTTCTGTACAAGCTACCAAAAAATATTAGAAAAGGGACTTGAAAGAACATACAAATAAATTTGCTCACATTACCAACAAGAAAATGAGGCCTAAATTGGCCGACAACTTCTTAGTGGCAGAGTGGGCTTGAGAACTCTGATCTCTTGATTTTTGATCTAGTGCTATTTTGATGTCAGAACAGGAACTTCCCTAGTTAAGCATGCTTGTCTGGAATTTTCCTAAAAGGAATTAGGGGAAATCAAGTCTGTTTCTACTAGTGCCACACAGTGGAAAAAACTGGCTCAGTAAACAAACAAAAAACCTCATGATGGTCTGCTCACCTAGGTGTAAATATCCACAATAGGATCATAAGGCTTGTCACAAGACTAACAGCCAGAATAAATTCCAAAAACTAATTTATGAAAAATGTCATTAACAATACTCTAAAATACCTTAATATTTTAGAAACTGATTTTCTCCTGAATATTAAATTTTGATAAAATACTGATTGTCACTGTTTACCAAAATACTGTATTAAATTTGGAATGTTTACAATGTAGATTTCCTCCTCACTAAACAAAATTTTTTCAGTTTCCATTAACTAGAATATATATATATATATATATTTTAAAATGTGTTCATAACTTTGCCTTCTTTTTGTTTACCTGCAATTATATATCTACTTACAGATATTGTGTTGCACCTATTTTTGTCAATCAGGACTCTAAGTTTTCCTGAATTAAGTCTACATGAATCCTGAAGTACCTCACAAAATTACTGTTTAATTCAACAAGTATTAAACATTTATAAACTTGATAAATGCAAAGTTACCTCAGAAATAAACATCTATCCCTATAGAAAGATGCCAACTTATAATACAAATGAACCTTGATCATTCAAAGACTTATCCAGTTCTGGATTACCCTTGTTCTTTTGCTGCTGCTATTATACTATCACTGCCTGTCAGTTAATTTTTCCTTAGTGACGGCACTAGAAGGTGCAAAGCTATCTATCCCTAGTTTTGGTAAACTTTAAATTGAATAAAAATTATTGATCTTCATCTGGAATATCTCTGTCATTTAGTCCTCACTTTCTTCTTTCAGAGTTATAACTAATGGATGGCAATAAACTGGTAAATGGGGAAAAAACAAAAAACAAATATAACGAACTGCAGTTCACACTTCATCAGTTGACTATTATCCTTGGGGCTTATAATAAAAAAACCTCCTGGTTTTCTTGACTACAGAATTTTAATTTTTATAGTTTATTTGACTGTATAATTAATTAAATATAAAATGCATTAAAGACTCAAACTCTATTTGTGCTTTGTTCTATTTCTTAATCATTTTCAAGAATGTGTAAACATCTCCTTAAAAATCCTGCTGTGCACAGAATACTGGTTGAATAAAGTGTGGTACATAGCCACGATGGAGTATTAAACAGCTATAAAAAGAATGAGGAACAAATCTATGAACTGACTTAGAGTGATTTCTAGGGGATTTTACAAAGTGAAAAAAAAAAGTAGAAAAGAGCATATATGGCAATTTTTTGTGTGTAAGGAACAAGGAAAATAAAACACATGTACCTGGCTTGCTACAAAAAGGAACAAAGGGAGAACAAAACTAGGGAAAAATGAAGTTGGATACCTACAAAAGGGGAGAAGATGAAGTGGAAGCAAAGAATAACACTTCTGAGTATAACTTTTTATATACTTACAACTTCTTTTTAAAATTGAAGTATAACTGACCTACAGCACTCTGTTAGTTCCAGGTGCACAACACCGTGATTCTACATTTCCATACATTATAAAGTGATCATCATTAAGTCTAGTTATTATGTGTCACCATACAAAGGTATTACAGTATTGACTATATTCCCCATGCTGTACATTTAATGCCCATGACTCATTTATTTTGTAACTGGAAGTTTCTATTTCTTAATCTCCCTTACCTATTTCACTTATCACTCCCACCTCCCCCTTCCCTCTGCTCTGGCAACCACATTTGTCCTCTGTATCTATGAGTCTGTTACTGTTCTGCTGTTTGTTCATTTGTTTTGTTTTTTAGATTCCACATATAAGTGAAATCATACGGTATTTGTCTTTGTCTGACTTACTTCACTTAGCATAATACCCTCCAGGTCCACACATATTGTCACAAATGGCAAGATTCCATTCTTTTTTTATGGCTGAGTAATATTCTACTGTGTGTGTACACATGTATACACACACACACACCTTTATCCATTCATCTACCAGTGGACACTAGTTATGACTTTTGAAACACGTTAACATCATACATATTCAAAAAATTAATTTAAATCAGTCAGAATGGGGGGGAGGTGAAACAAAGGAACTAAGTACATTTCAAACAAATACTATATCTACACTGAAAGAAAGAAGGCAGGAAGGAACTAAGTAACTTATGAACACAGAATTTGACTATATGTCTGCAGCCTTGGAGAGTGAGAAGGAAAAAACTAGTCTTCCTCCCGTGTTTCTCCTTTGCTCTCACATTATTACCACATTCACAACACTTCTGACAACAGATGTGGGGGGGGTTTTAACCACACCAAGCAAGCAATTATGTGACACCAACTGAGTATCCTACAATTTAACTCAGTCCTGACACTATCTGCCTGGAGATAGCATCAGATCCCACAAGTTAAGGGCTCAGCCTTAACTGAGACTGCCCTCCACTTCAGATGCTAATCACAAGTAGGAGGTCCTCAGATTACCCACAACTTCTGTCCCAGACAAAGGTTCCCATGACCTCTTCCCCCTTGGATTTATTTGCTAAAACAGTGCGAAGAACTCGGGAAACACTTATGCTTACCAGTGTGATAAAGGATACAAATAAACAGCCAGAAAAAGAGATGGGGGCGGGGAGGGGGGCACTTTTTTGTGCTTTCCTCTATCTTTCATTCACTGTAGTCATCTGAGCCTATTTTTTCTTCTTGACAGGGCCAAATGCTAAGTGCTTTTCACTGGTATCCCATTTAATCCTCACAACAAATCCTGTGAGATATTTACTATAATCAATCCATTTTACTGATAAGGAAGCTCGAACTTAGATTGAGTAATTGGCTCAAGTCTCAGAGCTAGTATCAGACACAAATGAGACTGAAAGCAAGTTATAGCTAATGGGAAAGAACATGCTCTTACTCCTTCTGCTATGCTGCCATAAAATGCCTTATAAATAAACATGATGTGAATTTAATAACTGTCCCCTAATTTCTTCCTATAATTAAAAATGACTTCTTTGGATGTAAAGCAACCAGAATTCCCATAACTGCTGATACGAATGTAAAATAAAATGGTCCCACTACTTTGGAAAGCTAAACACAGGCACACTCAATGATCCAGCAATTCTACCTCTAAGTTTATACCCAACAGAAATGTGTCTATATGTACACTAAGAGACATGTACAAGAACATTCATAGCTATTCATAAAAGCTCCAAAGTAGAACCAACTCAAACATATAATAGAATGCATAAATAAACTGTAGTATATATATTTTAAATGGATAGCCACCAAGGACCTACTGTATAACACAGGGAACTCTGCTCAATATTCTGTAACAACCTAATTGGGAGAACAATTTGAAAAAGAATAGATACTTATAACTGAATCACTTTGTTGTACACCTGAAACTAACACAACATTGTTAATCAACTGTACCCCAATGTAAAAAAAAAAATTTAAAAAAAAACTGCAGTATAATCATACAATGGAATACCATAAAGCAATGGTTCTCAAACTCTCTGGTTTCAGTAATCCTTTGTACACTTAAGAAAATACTGAGGATAACCACCCTAGCTTCTCCCTCCCCAAGAGCTTTAGTTTGTGTGGGTTATCACTATCAATATTTATTCTTTTAGAAAACTGAGAAAATATAATACACTAATTGATAAGGTAATCAAAACGTCCCAACAAATAAAAGCCCAGGACCAGTT